GCTAATTGTCTTGCTGATGGATTAGCTAACTCTCTTGTTTCCCTTCCTCTAGGTGTCCAGTTTTTAGATTCGGTTCCACCTAGTTTAGTTTCGATTTTAGTTACGATATGATCGGTTCTGCGTGTCCAAGAAGAGTTTGTGTAACTGGTTTTTATGTCTTGAATAAAATCAGGAGACAATGTCTCCCCCACCCCCTCTTACTATAAAAAACAATAGTTATATTAATAATATATTATTTATTTATGTGTTATGAGGATTAAAATCAAATTTTGTAAATACAAAAATATAAAATTAAAAATAAGATAATATAAGTTACGTGCAACTAATTCGATATTGTAGACACACGAGTTGTTATTGTAAAATATGATGATATGTTATTGGTTTTATATGAAATTTATGTTTTTTAATATTGTATTTAGTTTTTTTTCTTCTCCTTCTCCCTTCCTATTCTTTCTTCTTCATTTCTATTATATGTTTCTTTTTTTATGTTTTTCTTCTCTTCTTTTTTCTATTATATATTTCTTTTTTTATGTTTTTCTTCTCTTTCTGTTTCTCCTGCTTCTTCTTCATCTTTTCTTTTTCTCTCCCTTCATTTATTTTTGTTCTTCTCCTTCTCCTTTTTATCCTTTGTTTTTCCTTTTCTTCGTTTTTCTCCTTCTTCCTTTTTTGGATTACCATGAAAGTCTGGACCGAAGCCTGCAATCTCTGCAGGTCTGAAACCACATCATGTAATATTAGTTTAATCCTAAGCGTCACTCGATCATGTGATCTCTAAGCTTTGCCTAGATCTTTTACCAGTCAAGTTAACGACTCTTGGTTACTCCTTCGTCTTCTCTTCATCCATTTCATCTTCTCTATTGGTCTTATTCGTCATCACTTCTCCTTCTTCTCATTCGTTTTTCTTCTTTTCCATCTCTTCTTATTATCCTTTCTTTTCCTTCTTCTTCTTTATCACTTATTCTCCTTCTTCTAATGTTCTTCTATTTTCTTTTCTCTTTCTTGTTCTCTGTTGTTATTCTTTTTCATTTACTCTTTTTCTCATCCATCTCTTCTCTTTATTCTCCTCCTTTTTCTTCTCCTTCTTATTTGTTCTTTTTCTTCTTTGTCAAACAAAAAATAATAAATTTAAAACTAAAAAGATTAAAAATAACAACCATATACATAGTAAACAAACTGAAACAAAATATTTAACATATAAAAAATAATTTCGACTAAAAAATATTGATGTTTACAAATATATTTATTTTCTGAAAATCTAAATAGGGAAAAAATTAGTCAAAACAAATTAAAGAAAATGAAATAATGTGAGTTACTGTTTTTATTTCTCTTATAGTTTATCGAAATATTATTATCATAAATAGTTTCATTATGTTAATTGTAAAGTATGAAAATCTTTTATTAATTTACTGACTTTTCCTATTATTAATATGTTATTACATCTACAATAAAAAAATTTATCAATATTGTTTGTAATATTTTTGAAAATATGCTAAAATCTATATTTTTAAGAATATGTTTTAAATTTATGCAGTTACTATTTCTTAATTAAAAAAATATTTTGACTTTTATTTGGGAAGTTTGCTCCATAATTTTAGTAATCGAATATTAATAAAATATTACAAAATCGATTCATTAGATATTTTATAGAACTAAATATAATTTAAATAAAATTATATGGTTATTATAATTTACCGTAAATTAATCATAGTTTTTTTAAATTTGATCATGATGTTTTTAAATTTGAAATTAATTTAATCAAAATTTAATTTAATATTAGATGGCACTAAACATATAACAAGTAATATATAATTATTTATAAAAATTAGGTTTTAGTTTATTTTCCTATAAACATATGTGTTTGGTTATATTATTTCATAATAATAAAAATATGATTTTTTTTCAAATAATTTTTTTTATTTATCTTTTATATTGTGTAAATGTATATAATTTAATTATATTAATTATAATTTTTACTTTCTTATATTGTTACATAATAATAAATATTTGAAAATTATTATTTGTTATTTTTCGCAAAAATTTTTAAACTGTATAATTGTTTATAATTTAATCTTATACATATATAGTAATTATAATTATAATTTCGTTTTATATAAATTTGGATGTAATTAATTCTAAGATTAATTAGAATTTTCGAAATAACTATTTATGGAAATATTTAAATATGTTTGGTAATTAGAGTTAAACTAATTCAAATAGTATTTGAAAATTAATGTGTTTGGTAATAGAAATCCTCTACCTATTAATTGAGAATGTAGTTTAATGAAAAATTATGATTTGTTTTAATTTGATTGGTTAAAATCCTTTCTCTATCCTAATTAAATGTGACATGGAAATGATGATGTGTAATGATGATGTAATTGTGACATGGCATTTACTAACACATGTTGTTTATGACATGGCAAAAAGATTTTTTATGATATTTTCATTAATAAAAAATCTAATTAGATGACAAAATTTAGTGTACTAATAACTAAATCTGGAATGATTCGCCAGATGCATTACGAATAGCCTGATATTATTATTCATCTATATGGGTAATAGTAGATGAATTTTGGGCTCAACGTGATGATTTTAATACATATATATATTATAATAATATGGATAATACTATATTATATATATATTAAATTTACTATAGCTCTGTCGTGGACCACAATAACTTTTCATATAGATACACACATATCTATATATATATATATATATATTATAATATTATATTCATATGGAATACATGCATATATATTTTCATATATTTCAGTAGGCAAAATTATAATAACAAAATTATATTGATCAAATCGTTTACTTAATAATTCATACTTTTTGTAAAGACGGTGCTCTATTTACGTGCACATATTTTTTTCACATATTTTAGTAGACAAAATTATAATAACAAAATAAGATATTATTGTGATCTTCTGTAGAACATTCAAAATTTAAAAATATTAGTTTAGTTTAAAAATAATAATAAAAATAAATATAGGATTTCGATTTAATAATCCTCTACATTATTTTCGTAACAAAAGTTGAATATCCTAAAAAATCAACGTGTATCTAATGAAAAACCAAAATTATTATCTATTATTTGAAAAGTTTAATGTCCATTTAATAAAAACCAAAAAGATCCATATAAAATCACGTTTATCCTAAATAACTAATGAAAAAGTTAAATACTTGGATCCTTTTATAAGAAAACATCACAACACATATGAGTATCAAATAAATCAAACCATAACTCAAAGTGCGGGCATGAGAATTCTACCAATCCATTTATCTAAATCAAATATGGCTAAAATGAAACTTGAAGGTTGTATAGACTCCAATCGTGAGTGTAATGAAGCAAGGCTTTATCGCTACACTGAATTTCCAAACAAATGGGTTTGGCATCAAAAATTTAAGAAGTGGTTCCCTCGCAACAGAAAAAAACAATGTTCCCTACGATATCAGCATTCCAGAAGTCTCAGAAGAATATGGTGATCTTTTCTACCTTAAAATGTTGCTAAATGTTCAGAGAAGACCAGTATGTTTTGAAAAATAATAGGACAGTAAACAGAGTTTTATATTCAACCTTCGCTGAAACATGTCTTGCAATAGGGTTAATTGAAGCACTTGATGCTCAAGTGGAGATGGTCTTGCAATTATTTGTAGAGTCACTTGATAAAATTATAAGTAGAAAAATCGCACATATGAGTAGATCGAGACCAACAGTGACGGAATCCTTGAATAAATAATGCTTTAATTTGAGGAAGATTATAGGAAGACAAAGAAAATGAAAAACGTTTGTTCAAAAAAAAAAAAGACAGAGAAGATAAAATTTGCATCTTGATCCGCAAATCCGAAAAAGATAATCAGCTATCCACGTGTTTGATCCATTTGACCATCTACCATAATGGGTCAAGTTTTACAAAGCCTGATCATGAAAAAATAAGTTTTGTGTTTTCCAAATTTAATTATTATTTTTCAAGTCTATCTCAAAATATAAATGAACCTTTTGTTATAACAAAATGTTTAGTTAAAATTAGATCATATTTTACTACTTATTTTAAAGTCTTATAATTCAAAACAATGACTTTGAATTTCATATCCTACAAAAATTAAAATATTTAAAACAGATTTAGATATTATATTTAGATAATTACATTTTTAAAATTGTTTATGTCCGTACATGCGTGCGGGCCAATATCCTAGTATAAGAATTAAATAAAGGGATAAGAATTAAATAAAGAAAAAATAAAATGAATATTAATTGGTTATATTAACAAATGACTAAACTACCATTAATGAAATTCTAAAAAAAAAGTTAAAATATAATGGCATTTCATGTAATATAACACATGATTTATGTTTAAACTTTGAAATGATACTCTTTTAATAGTGTAGATATTATATAATTTACTGTAATTCGAAGATAACTTCCATCACAAGCAAATCTTTTTTCCCTAAGTAATTGTATGTTGGCCCAAAACTAGGAAAATATGGGCCAGATACATATTTATGTGGGCCCAACCTGGAAACAGAGTCGGTTATTTTATCCAATTCTGCAAAACGGCATGACACGAAGTAGAAGAAGTTGAAATTAAACATCGAAAACCATAATGAATCAAATTAGAGAGACGAGACTTGCTAAAGATTAAAGATTTAAGGCTCATTTTCAGGCCTGTGTTTAATAGTAATGGGCCTATACTTTGCCTGGAAGAACAAAAAGCGGTTTATCATTCTGATTGGTATAACCCAAATTTTTGTAGTGGTAATGTAGACAACATATAGGATATAGCACGTTGCATCTCTAAAAATGAACCTTAAATCTTTAATCTTGAGCAACTCTCACAAATAATAACTAAGGAGGACCTTGGGAAGTGAAGAGAAATTGTTAACCTCTTCCTAAGGATTTCTTATATATATAAATATATGTACAATATTACACACAGAATGTAACACTTTAAATCTTTAATCTTCCAGCAAGTCTTACAAATAAGGTCCTACCACTATATACTTTGAAAAAAGTAAAACAACAAACAAATTTAATATGGACTCTGTCTTCAATTTTCCAAGCAAAACTCAAAGATCACTTTTCCTCCTCTTGTCTTCTCTCTGAGTATGGGTATGGCAAGTGAGATTAAAACTTACTTTTACAGGATGGGGTCATAATTCAAAGTCACCGGTTTATGGACTCCATTGCAAGCCTCACCACATGCAACAATTTCTCCATGTCCTGAAAACTGAAATCAAGAGCCTTTTTGATGGATGTTATGCCATCACTACTGTATCGTGTATCAGAGGACTTTCCCTTAGCAGCTGCAAGTGTGATCTGTGCTTTTCTTGATGCATCCATAGCAAAGCTTACGTTTTGTGACTGCATGACCAAACATAATATGTATCTAAGAAACACACCATCTCATGATATTACAGACACACAACACTATGTATCTTATAATGATGGTAATGATACGTTGCTATGCTTGAAGATGATTCCAATTCATGTTTCTCAACCAATAAACTATCTCACACTACGTACTGAAAACCTTCAGCATGCGGAAATGAAAAATATTTACTAGTTTAAATCCAGCCTAACTATGGCAGCTAAAAGGTTTTGTAAACTTATAAATGATATTGCTTTTTACGGCACCAGATCACAAAAATAACTTTAATTGAACTTACAAATGCCAAAAGCTGTGCAAGAGAGGAATTGTCCTGAAGAGATAACATGATTTCCGGTTCCTCTAGGGGATGATCTCACAGTGTTTGACAAGGCAACCTTTTCTGCTGCTAATGTCTGATTTGAATTTTCACCATCAGAGGCAAAAGAAGGAGACTCACCTGTTTGAATCCCAAACAAGATGGAAAGATGATTCATCAGAATCATGCTCACAAGCAAATAATTATGAAAGGATATAGAGGGATTGTGTTTAAAATTTTATATATGATTGATATTTTCTTATGTATATTTGAATAATATTTTCTTGTGTAAATGATCATATATATATACCATGTCAATAGATATGTTACCATGATGATGATAATGATAATAAATAATAATAACGATGGTGATGAACCATGCATGTAGCTCGTATTGTCATATATTATATAAATGTCTTTTTGTGTGTTTCTTGTTTTGATTCTTTTGTAAGTTTGCCTTCAAGTGTGTTTTCGTTTGTATAAATAAATTTATTTGGTGTAGTGGTTTCAGTGGGTGATGAATCCTATAGGTTTCAGATTTGATTCATCAGAGGCATTAAACCCGAAATCTATAGAAAATATCACATCCACTTAAACCACTACACCAAATAAATTTTATTAGTTGTGATGCTTCTAAATTGACTATATATAATTTAAAAGAGAGGAATTGTCCTGAAGAGATAACATGATTTCCGGTTCCTCTAGGGGATGATCTCACAGTGTTTGACAAGGCAACCTTTTCTGCTGCTAATGTCTGATTTGAATTTTCACCATCAGAGGCAAAAGAAGGAGACTCACCTGTTTGAATCCCAAACAAGATGGAAAGATGATTCATCAGAATCATACTCACAAGCAAATAATTATGAAAGGATATAGAGGAATTGTGTTTAAAATTTTTATATATAATTGATATTTTCTTATGTGTATTTGAATAATATTTTCTTGTGTAAATGATCATATATATATACCATGTCAATAGATATGTTACCATGATGATGATGATAATAAATAATAATAACGATGGTGATGAACCATGCATGTAGCTTGTATTGTCATATATTATATAAATGTCTTTTTTGTGTGTTTCTTGTTTTGATTCTTTTGTAAGTTTGCCCTCAAGTGTGTTTTCATCTGTATAAATAAAATTTATTTGGTGTAGTGGTTTCAGTGGGTGATGAATCCTATAGGTTTCAGGTTTGATTCATTAGAGGCATTAAACCCGAAACCTATAGAAAACATCACATCCACTGAAACTACTACACCAAATGAATTTTATTAGTTGTGATGCTTCTAAATTGACTATATATAATTTAAAGCCCGACCTGATTATTAGTATAACGAGTTTATACAACTATATTAGTGTTCATAGATTGCAAACGTGCAAAAGAGTTATCAATGTCTCTTGACGAAGTAGCGATCAGAACATGAGATTTACGTTATTTTGACATAACTACTATTATTTGCTTCTCATGGGTTATCTTACACTATTGCCCAGGGCTAGCCTAATAAGACTAATGCATTATGCATCGAGAAGGTTGATGATATAAGCATATAAATTTTTTTTTTTTCCTTTACATATGATCTTATATTTCCAGGAGCATCACACCTCCTTTCGAAAGGATAATTTTTTATATATCTTCCTAAACTTCCAAAGATCAACATACTATGTTACAAATTAGTCTTCTGACCTAGCTAGCTTCAAGCGATGCACTCTTTTCCCCCGAGTCTGGATATTTCCACAAGTTTTATGGTTCCCATCGATCTAACTTTAAGCGTCCGAAAAATATTTCTGTATGACTTCGCAAACATTGTACTGACCATGCATGTTAGTATTTCAGAACATCACTATCCATCTAGCATCCGCATTACGTCTGTCACCTGGAATTTATCTGACCCATCAAGGTCACATATCGGCTATTAACCACTGGAGATCAAAAAGCACCAAATTTGATAAAAGTATTATAGGAAAGACAAGATAAGGGCATGTCATTACGGAAATATGTTATTAATTTTATGGGAACAAAATTATATTCGATTTTACAATTTTTAATCGAAGGCGACAACAACAAAAAAAACTAAAACGCAAATAGAAAAGGAAACAATAAGAACAATAAAAAAGAAGGAAACAACAGTAATAAATAATAATGAAAGAAAATGAAACTTTTTAATCGTGGTCTCATATATAGCAGCACATCTCCTCGATAATCCACAATTGTGCCTTGCAATTTTACTAGCCCAAGGTTGATCTTTAGGCTTATCGTATATCCAAAGTTTCTTCTTCCTTAGTTTTTTTTTTGTTTTACCTTCGGAGACCAGAACCAAAACAAAGCACCATGTCATTGGAGTTGGAGAAATTGAAGATGGCATTCGAAAAGAAAGACAAACGCATGGCTTTAGTCTTGCTAAAACTGAAGAAACTAAACGAGAAGTATGCAAATCTGATTGCAAAGTGACAGCAGCTTTATTACAGACAAAAAGTCGTCACTATCCTAGAAAGTAGGATTAAAGCATGCATGACATCAATGGTCTAGAGAGTGAGGTTGAAGCATTGCAGACCATGAAAGCTAATAAGCAGAAGAGAACATCTCTGATCCATTAAACCCTTAATTTTTTTGTACCGATATGATCCAAAAGGAATATTAATAATATCTTTCGTTTCTTTCTTTTTTCAACGAATTTTCTTTTTGTGGCTGCGTAATTGCATATTAAAGAAAACGCCCAGATGTCAAATAAACCTTGCTCGTCGCAAATCTCACAATATATACATAATACATCCGATCTGGTTTGCTGTTTCTTTTAGACCAAACGAATTGTTCATATATCAATAATGAAAAAAAATATAGATGTAAACCCAATTTGAGACATAAGATGGGAATAGTCTCCTAATGAAAACACTCTTTTGTCAACAATGAGAGCACTTATATCTTTACTTAATCATTGATTTATATTAAGACAAGAACAATATCCATGTTTTATCAACTCACTGATTAAGGAGTAGGTTTGTTCTCTGTACTATAAACATTGTGTCATTTAGAGGTAAATAGGAAAATACGACAATGGTTTAAGTAAATGGAGAACAACACAAACCATCAAAAGGAATGAAGATTTTGGACCAATTTTTTTATTCAGATCGGGTGTGACTTTACAGCACCGTGGTTGTAAAAATGTTTCAGTTTCACATTAAAATGATATTATATATTTTTAATCAACAGAATGTTTAGCTATAAGATAGGCAGCCTGATTAGAAGATCGATGAACATAAGCAATGTCGGCTTTATGAAATTTAGCCACCCAAAAACTTAAATCAACTAAAATATTAAAGATTGAGAAGTCTTGTTCTTCATTTTGTAGAAGGTTGATGAGTGTTTGGCAATCTCCTTCGAACAGTAATTCTTTATAAACCATAGACCAAGTATTGTGCTCGTCTTAATCATAGTGGATTTGACTGACTTGAAGGTCGCAGACATTTTCTGGAACCAGTAATGTGTTTCCTCACCATAAAGAATTATGAATCTTTGGCCGCCAAAAACCCACAAGACTAAAACCCTAATACTTGCACCAAATTCTTGTATAGAAACTATTTCAACCTATCGTCTTCCTCTGTTATGGGTCCAACAAGATCTTGGGAGTTTATGGGATTTGAATATCAAACATGTCCCTGAGATCATCAATAGCAATGTAATAATCGGTATGATCGATGGTAGAATCTGGCCTGATTCGCAGAGGATGGATTCGAACCACCACCGACGAAATAGAAGGGCAATTGTGCAGGAGGGCACAACTTCACACGCAGCAAGTAAAATGTGTGTCACAAGTTAGTTACGCTTGTCGAATTTTTTACAGGAAGGTGACCGGAGCACGGTACCATATCGCAAGGTCACTGTTTACGCACGATGGCTCCTCGCTCGCTCTTAGAGACTCTTCTTTTCTGCATTCTCTTCTTGATCTATGGTCTCTGAACGACCCATCATCACTCTCAGTGTCACTGTAATCATCATCCTCTGTAAATCTGCGGTTCAGAGGAAACTGCAGAAATAGTTAAGAATGTAGAACCAACAAGAGACTAAGCTTGTAATTTATAAAGATGCAACAGAAGTGGAGTAAGCAGCAATAAGAATGGAATGCGCTCGACACAGAAGATAGAAGACGGTGTGACACAAAGAAGAGTTCAAGGCCTTTCATATATTTGTATATATGCGAAAGGTAGAGTGAAAAAGGAAACTAAAGAATAGATTTAGGAAACTTAGGTTTCTGCTCTTTCTAGGTTTTTAGTATAAAAAGGGCAAGGGTAGAAGTAAAGAGGTAACACTTCCGACCTAGACCAGGAAAACGGCGCCATAGCTTTGTGCAAAAAGCAGATGCGTGCATATGGCAGATTTACGCTCCCCAACTTAAGAGGTCGGAAGATCTATGACATGTCTGGATGCTACTTCTGTGGAAGACCTGGACACATCAGAACCTTTTGTTATGACTTTCTCAAACAGAAGAAATCTATGATCAGGCAACACCAACACAGCTTTGGGAATCAGAGGCCACAACAGATGTGGGTTGAAAAGACAAATCAACACAACTATGTTGCATACACTGCTGATGCTCTCAAATCTGAGGAGGGAGCATGGTATTGTGATAGTGGATGCTCCCGACACATGACAGGAAGATGTCAAAATGTGCAAATCCATGAAAACATTTCTGCCGGAAAGGTCACGTTTGGAGGAGGAGCATGTGGTAAGATCAGAGGCAAAGGAGACACATCGGGGCCAGATCAACCGCAACTGACTGATGTATACTTGGTGGAAGGTCTCAAAGCCAATCTCATCAGTGTCAGTCAGTTGTGTGATGAGGGGATGTCGGTTACTTTCACTAGTGCAGAGTGTCAAGCGTGTGATCAACAAGGGGTGATAAAACTGCGAGGGAAACGCTCAGGCAACAACTGCTACATGTGGAAACCAGCCGAAGTGTGCATGACTGCTGCTAAAGCAAGTGATCTTGAGATTTGGCATCAGAAACTTGGATATATGAATGTTTGAACTATGATCAAGCTGAGTAATCAAGAAGTGATCAGAGGAATGCCCAAGCTGAAACTGCAACAGGATTTTGTCTGTGGCCCGTGTGCTAAAGGAAAGCAGGTTAAAGTTCATCACAAGAGTATACAGGAAATATAGTCCAGGCAACCACTTGATCTGATTCACATGGATCTCATGGGGCCTGTTCAAACAGAGAGTATTGCTGGAAAAAGATACAT